TTGTTTATTAAGGCCTTCATCTCTGAATTGTTTTCACTTCTCTTATATCTGTGATAAGAGTCTCACTAATGTCTTCTATTCTTTTATAAAGCCCAGGTAGTATTTTCATGATGTTGCTTTAAGTTCTCCATCAAGGGTGTTACATATATATATATATATATATATATTTTTTTTTTTTTCCCCTCAGACCTCTGGCGATGGTCTTATCTTGTTCTTTCATTTGGGATAAAGTCTTACTACTTTGCATTTTGTCTAAGTGTCTGACCTTTTCTCTGTGTTAGAAAAGCCAGTTATGTCTCCTGCTCCTGAAAGGATCTTATGAAGACAGGGTCATGTAGTGCCTATGTTTTGGTGCTTCCGGGTGTGTCACTGGCATATACTGTGTGCACCTTGCTGTTGTGCTTTGAATTTTCTCTCTTTCAGACCAGTCATCTGCAGAAGATTTCCTTGCCTGTTGTGGGCAGTGTTTCATCCCTGGACTGAATGTGATTCATTTTAACTAGGTGTGTTCTGGTCTGCTTGTGAAATGAGACCTGTCATCACCTCCTCCAGAATCAGGCCTTGCAGAACTCTCTGGTCTGGGGACATGGTGTATGCAGGGTTTTTCCCAGACTTCTGGGTAAAGGGCCTGCCATGATAGGAATGAGTCAAGAGTTGCTGAGAAGTGCACTCTTACCAGATCACAGAGGGTGGAGCTTGCTATATGTAAATAAGTCAGCCATTGTGGGTGCTGTGTTGCTTCCTGCAGTTGCTTCAGTGTTTATGCTGAGGGCTGGGGGAGGGAAATGGTGCCAGTCAGCTCCTTTGTTCAGAGTGAGTTACCTCCATGAATACAGCCTCTCAGAGACATGTTCTGAGAAGAGTGAATAGTTTCCCCATGTGTGACCCAGACACTCTTAAAATTGTCAGATTGCTGTTTTCACACTGTCCACTCCCTTCCTTCTCTCCAGGAGCAGAACAGTTCCCTCCAGGCTGTGTAACAGCCAAGCCCACTGACCTTTAAAACTACAGGTTTTAAGCTAGAGTGGTTGCAAAAACTCAGGAAAGTCACCTTCTATGTTGTTCAAGCCAATGTCTTTGCACAAACATTCTCCTTGTGCATTCACCTGTGTGATCCTCTCTCACCCTTCTCTGCAAACATGGTTCCCTCCCTTTGCAGCACCTGCAATACGTTTCTCCTCTAAACCATGTCTCCATTATTTCTAACTTCTTTGATGTGGTCTCTTTTCTCCTTTAGTTGTGGAGTTTGTTCTGTCCGTCCTCAGGTCTATTTATGGGGTATTATTATGATTTGATAGCTAACAAATTGTGTTCCTGGGATGAGGCAAGCCTAAGGTACTCCTCCTCTGCTGCCATCTTCCGTTCCTCCTTCCTCATTTCTTCTTTGAAGTGTGTAGGTTTAACCAAATAACTTTATAAGACTCTTTTAGCTCTAATATTGTACCATTTTACTTCTGGTTTTTATTATTTTTTAAAACATTTTTCAATGTTTTATTTATTTCTGAGAGAGAAAGAGACATCATGAACAAGGGAAAGTCGGAGAGAGAGGGAGACACAGAATCCAAAACAGGCTCCAGGCACCAAGCTAGCTGTCAACACAGAGCCCGACATGGGGCTCAAACCCACGAACCAGGAGATCATGATCTGAGCCGAAGTCAGATGCTTAACCGACTGCGCCACCCAGGTGCCCCTACTTCTGGTTTTTAAATAGCCCTGATATTCCATGCCGTAATTATGTGTGGATACATATATAATTATTGCATAATATACAAATATTTTATAAATAATAAGGCATCATTTATATTTGACAAGAGTGTGGGAATCTGGAACCACTCTGTCAGAGGGGAAGTAGTTGGGAAGATGGGTAGAATAAAGGGATTCAGAGGTACAAATTTGGAATTGTAAAATAAATAAGTCATGGAGATAAAAAGGACAGTGTAAGTAAAACAATAATATTGTAATGATACTGTATAGTGCCATATGGTGACTATAGTTATGGTGAGCACTGAGTACTCAATGTATAAGATTGTTGAATCAATTGTTCTACATCTGAAACTAACATAGTGTTGTATGTTTATTACATTTCATATAAAAATCAGATTCTGCCATTGACTAGCTCTGTGACATTAAGCATGTTAAGCAGTTCTATTTTTCAATTTGCTTCATCTGTAAAATGAGTTAATAATGCTTAACTCTGTGAGTATTTAATGAGTTAATATTTCTAAGTTTCTATAGTAAGTCCTATATAAATCTATTCTTACAAATAAACAAATTGTTAGCATTTTACATAGTGTAAAATAACTTTATGTATGTCTAAGTATTGTAGCCAAAGACTGAATACAGACTAATGTCTTCAGGAGGAAATCGTAAAAGCAAATTATATATATTTGCATACATAGCTTTTGTTTATTAGTAGAATGTTCTATTTTGTTGTTTGTTTAGTTTAGCTAAGTTTAGTTTAGTTTAGTTTTGTTTTTTTGGATAGTAGTTATAGTTGACTATTTATCTTTATCCCTCAAGCCTGAAGTTGTGTCATGACAGGGGTCCTTTAGGGCTATTAATAAATAAAAATGTACTTGAATTTACCCCAGTTAACTTAAATTTTGTATCACAACAGTAACTTAGGTTTAACCTGCACTTTCATTTGTTAATACCTCCAACTGAGGAATGGTACATAACTTTACAGTACTTTATTTTTCCCACAAACACATATACTAAATACTTAAGTGTAAACATATTCACATACAGGGAATACGAGCACTCTAAAGAGTTGTTAATTATTAAAACCCAGACCTCATATGTAGAGATATAAGTGAATGTAACTGTGTTTAAGGTATTTTTCTTTCTATGTTTATGTGATATATGCAGTCATTTTGTTCCTGATGTTTTGAAGTATAATTAACATGCAGTGTTATATCAGCTTCAAGTGTGCAATATAGTGATTCAACAACTCTATACATTTACTGCTCATCACTATAAGTTTTCCCTTAATCCTCTTTATATACTTCACTCATACTCCCACCACCACCCCGCCTACCAACAACTAGTTTGTTCTCTGTACTTAAGAATATGTTTTTGGGGACGCCTGGGTAGCTCAATCAGTTAAACATCCGATTTCGGCTCAGATTATGATCTCACAGTTCGTGGGTTTGAGCCCCGCATCGGGTTCTGTGCTGAGCTCAGGGCTTGGAGCCTGCTTCAGATTTTGTGTCTCCCTCTCTCTCTCTGCCCCATCCTCCAGCTTGCACTCTATTCTGACCTTCTCTGTCTCAAAAACAAATAAACATTTAAAAAAAGAATGTGTTTTTTTGTCTTTTTAATTTTTTTTATTTGATAAATTCCACATATTAGTGAAATCATATGGTATTTGTCTTTCTCTGACTTATTTTGCTTAGCATAATACTCTTTATTTTTTAATATTTTTATAGTTTTTATTTATTTTTGAGACAGTGAAAGATAGAGCATGAGTATGGGAGAAGCAGAGAGAGAGGGAGACACAGAATCTGAAAAAGGCTCTAGGTTCTGAGATGCCTGCACGGAACCCTATGTGGGGCTCGAACCCACGAACCTGAGCCGAAGTTGGACTCTTAAACGACTGAGCCACTCAGGCGCCCCTAGTGTAATACTTTTTAGATCCATTCATGTTGTTGCAAATGGCAAGATCTTCTTTTTCTTTTTAATGGCTGAGTAATATTCATGTGTGTGTGTGTGCGCGTGTGTATGCGTGCGTGTGTGTGTATACACTTCTTATTCATTCATCTATCACTGGACATTTGCATTGCTTACATAATTTGTGTGTTCTAAAAAATGCTGCAGTAAACAGAGGAGTTCCTATACCTTTTTAAATTAGTGTCTTTGTTTTCTTTGGGTAAATATCATAAAATTTCTAGAAGAAAACATAGACAGCAATTTCTTTGACATTGGCCATAGAATCATTTTTCTGTTTGTCTGTCTCCTCTGGCAAGGAAACAAAAGAAAAATTAAACTATTCAGATAACACCAAAATAAAAAACCTTTTGCACAGTAAAAAAAAAAAAAAATCAACGAAACAAAAAGACAACCTGCTGAATGGAATGGAAGCAGATATATGCAAATGATGTATTCAATATCTCATTAATATCCAAAAATATAGTTTAAAAACTATAAAACTAAACACCAAAAATCCATAAATAATCTGATTTTTAAAAGGACAGAGGGCCTGAACAGACATTTTTCCAAAGAAGACATACGAATGACCAACAGACACATGAAAAGATGCTCAACATCACTAATCATCAGGGAAATGCAAGTAAAAATCACAATGAGATTTGCTGCTGATATTTCTTAAATGAGTTAAATATTATACAGGTCCTATTACAATGGTTAGATATCTAGACTGGTGTTTCAATAATGCATTTCTTCTAAGAATAAACATACAGAAAAAGGAGCAAAAGGAAACATAGTAAACTCTCTCTCTCTCTCTCTCTGTCTCTCCAAAATCCACATCTTCAGAATCTGTTCTAAGATTCAATGACCTTTAAGCTTACCAATCAATAAATAGACATTTGCTTATTATTCATGTGATTCATTTCAACTACTGTATTATTTTTTCTCAGTAAATGGCATCCCTTTCCTCAACACACACATATTACTTTGTACTGTATAACTAGAGTGGACAATATATGCTGAGTGATATTTATGTAATTTTTTGTTTGCTTAATAAAGTCAGGATCAGCATGACTCATTTTTCATTTTGTCTCAGTTTCCAATATGACTCAGCAAGGCAGTATTTTAAAGAATATAACATTCTACCAAATACTCCAGAAAATGCAGCCTTTAATATTCTATAAAAATACGTTCATTGACTTCAAGAACCTGGTCATTATCTAGTAATATATTAAGTGGACCAGCAAATGTAGGACAGGGGCCTGGGGAGGACTCTCAGTTCAGTGACCCCAGCATGAAAAAACACTTTTAGGAATGATGCTAAAACGGAATCAAGACTATATTTGAGTACCTACTTTTTTTTCTCCAGTGCTGGTGGAATTCCTTAATCAGAGCAATGTAGTCTGCAGAAGAAGCCATGGGGAATATGCTGGTTTAATTCATTTATGCCTGAAAAAAAATACAAGAGTAGTAGTCAAGTGCAGCATGAAGAAGATGCTCATAGAGGGCTGTGATACTTCAGAAGATGGGTGCTGAGACCCCAAAAATGGATTACGATGGGCGAAAAAGCATGGAAAGAGTTATACTTGGTTGATAGGAGTAGCAAAGTCAAATGGGGATTCCTTTACCATCTGACATCTTTTTCTGACTTGGTAGCCCTTGGAAAGGGTAAATGATGATAAGAATGTCAGTGGTAGAGTTCACATGTCCCTCCTTAGTCACAGGGAGCTCTTAACTGTGATGAACCAGCCTAGAAAAATCCCACAGTTTCTAGTCAAACACAGCACAATTGGAGGTTAGGGACTGACTTTTATTTTTTCAGTTGGGAATATTTTCAGAGTTCTCACAACCACAACCACTTCATTGATTAGTGAATACACATGGAAAGAGACCCAACGGGCCACTGGCTGTCAGCACAACTGATGCTGAGATAGATTAAATTCTACAAAACACTGCCTTACAGATACCATTGCAAGGCTTGTAGAAGGCTTCTCATATGGGATAACTTAGGAGAATGAAAAACCATACTCCACTACTCTCTACTCCACGTTACCCAATCATCTCTTGCCCAAGCTTGCCACCTTGCCTGAAATATCCCATTATAGATTCAATCCTTCAAGGCATTTTGTATTCAAGAATTTCTTAGTAAATAAAAATACTGCAAGGAGGATTTTCACATTAACTCATTAACTGTAGTCAATCAGATAAGCTAGTTTTCACCTTAGAAAGCGGACATGATGAAATACAAATGGAGATACATTTTACTTAATAGAAGAAGAGAAGTAAAATAACATAGATGGGGACAGTTTTAGGCGGTGCAATATAGTAGGATTAGGGAAACCAGATTGTATCGTGTTGGCAGAGAATTCTACAAAAATGAGGAGTGGGTGGGAAAGATAGAAGGCAGGCAACCAACATAATAGCTTTCGCCTAAACAAATTTGTATCAGTCTAGTCCTTTTAAGAATCTTTTCTCACCTAGACTGCAAAATTCTTGGGGAGGGGCCACCTTTCAAAGAGAATAGAGATAAACGCCAGCTTCAGTTGGGAAATCTTGAATCACTTGCTTTCTGTTTTTCTCCCTATCCTAACCTCATTTTCATCCTTTTGTACAATGAGTACAATAATGTATACTCCTGGAGTGTATTGTAAAAATTACTTGAGATACCCCAAGTAAAATCCAGTAAGACAGTGCTTAGCACATAATAGATGCCCAATACATATCATTTGTCCTTTTCTTCAGGCCTCCAACATATACTAAATAAGATGCTTGTCATACAAGGACTTCTCAATAAATTCTTTAAAAAGACTTGAAGAAAAAATAGCAGTGAGAATAAGATAGACTAGAGTAAGCAGAAAGCATTCCCAGGAGCCCCAGAATCCACAGTAGTCTGTCATGCAGGCAAGGAAAGAAATTTCAGACAGAAAATTACAAATAGAAAAAGTTATGAACCTTATTGGTCTTTTGTTGCATGTGAGGCATAGAAAGAACTATCTACATGCCCGCCGAGTGGGACAGATAATGTGAAGACAAACTAGAACAATAGTTCATAGGGACAGAATTCAGTGACTGAGCAGTTACAGATTAATTATAAACATCACCAGACAAATCCAGCTGGACAGAAACAGGTTTTATTAAAATGGTGAATATTCTCAGGTACTTTAAAAAATCTTTTATTTATTATATTTCATGGGCAGGAATCATGTAAGATACCAAAAAGGTGGTTTTTCTTTGAGGGTTGTTTCATCACTTTCTTCTAGAAAAGTCATATGACCTAAAACTGTTCTGTAGTACTTGCTGGCTTTTCCAACTCCCAAGACAGGACACATAGCTGAGAGAAAGCAGAGTATGGGGAAAAAAGGATAGATCAGAGACTTAGAACATCTGGATTCTAGTCTTCACTTTATCACTAATTGGTGGAATGACTTTGGAAAAATAAATTCATTCTCTGGGCCTTAATCGTTCATCTGTAAAATTCAATAGTTGGACTATACTATCCCTAAGGTTCCTTTGAGTTCTGACATTTTAAATCTCGTACAAAATTCTATTTGGTTAGCCTAGGAATGTGGTGAGAGGGTGGATCCTAAGCTCACCTCCATCCAGGTATACACCAAATAACAGCCACACCAGTGCAACTAACCCAGGAAACAACCCAAAGCTCGCAAAACAGACTCTCCATAGTTAATCCCAGTAAGGAGCCTACATAAAAATTGTGATAAGGGCAGAAATGTGGTTATGAACCAAACTCCTGGACAGACTAACCACACATGGGAGGGACACCACAAGCATGGAAAAGAAGAGGAATAGACCCCACACTAGTCACCCCAGATACAAAGGACCTGCACTGGGAAGATGAGTCTTCATAACATTTGGCTTTGAAAAACAGTGGGGCTTTTTTTAAAAAAATGTTTAATGTTTATATATTTTTGAAAGAGGGAGAGACAGAGAGAGAGAGAGAGAGAGAGAGAAGGGGAGTGGCAGAGAGAGGGAGATACAGAATCAGTCCGAAGCAGGCTCCAGACTCAGAGCTGTCAGCACAGAGCTCATTGCGGGGCTCGAACTCACAAACTGCAAAATCATGACCTGAGCAGAAGTTAGACACTTAATTGACTAAGCCATCCAGGTGCCCCCAAAAATTGTGAGGCTTAAATTTGCACTTTTACACTAAGAAAAATCTTAACACTTGGTGTTTCAAAAAACAGCATTTTTGGGGTGCCTGGACCGTTTAGTCAGTTGAGTGTCCGACTTTGGCTCGGGTCATGATCTCATGGTTCGTGGGTTCGAGCCCCACGTCAGGCTCTGTGCTGACCGCTGGCTCAGAGCCTGGAGCCTGCTTCAGATTCTGTGTCTCTTTCTCTCTCTGTCACTCCCCTGTTCATGCTCTGTCTCTCAAAAATAAATAAATGTCAAAAAAATTTTTATCAGCATTTTTAACTGTGGAAGAGCCAGAGGGGAAACTGAGTCCCAGCTATTAAAGAGACAGTATAAAAAACCACCTGCAAGACACAACATAGAAGCAGCAGTTGAAAAAGTGCCTGGCGGGGCGCCTGTGTAGCTCAGTCGGAAAAGCGTCTGACTTCAGGTCAGATCATGATCTCAAGATTCATGGGTTCGAGCCCAGCATCAGGCTGTGTGCTGACAGCTAGATCAGAGACTGAACCCTGTTTCAGATTCTGTATCTCCTTCTCTCTCTGACCCTCCCTTGCTCACGCTGTCTGTCTCTCTCTCTTTCTCTCTCTCTCTAAAAAATAAATAAAACATTTAAAAAAGTGCCTGGGGATTCATGGCAAGATGGCAGAGAAGTAGGGAGCTCAGTACATTTCACTCGCCCCCATCTCTCAAACGGAGAAGGCCTGAAGCCATAGGAACCCTTGCAGAATCCAGGAGATGGAGAGGAAATGGAGACAGAGTCTGCTGAGAAAAACTTATAGCATGAGTATGAATTGGGGAAGATAAAAACGGGCGGGACCAGAGACACGGAAGGAGGGAAGGGAGCCCCCTTTGCTGGGAATCACGGTGAGTCTAGAGGAAAAAAAGAATGAGCGGCCAAAACTGCTCAAGACACTGTCCCTGTCACTGTAGAAGAGAAAAAAACTCGGCTCAGGACACAGAGGGATCCGGTTTCCTGCTGTCCAGCTGACCCTAGCCAGGACACACTGGTCCCAGGGAACCCCAGGAGAAAATGCTACTCGTTTGCCAGCTCAAGCTGGAGGGGAAGCAGCAGCGCCTGAAGCCAAGACTCAGGGCTTCTGGCTATGCTTGATCCCCAGGGGGGAGGCAAGAGTCTTGAAACTGCTTGGAGGGTCTCACCTCCTAGGTTATATTTCCGGAGATATCAATGAGGCACCGGACTAAGATCTAGAAAAAGGCCTGGATTGGGATATGAAGCACGGTCCACTTTGTCTACGCCTATGGCACAGGGAGATCGGACCCAAAAGAGGCAGTTGCAATGCTTGGTTCCAGAAGTGACTGTGGAGCCGCCATTTTTCTCCCCACAACCACCAAGGCTGGACCTCAGGAAGTGACCCACGGGACCCAGTTGAGACTAAGAACAGCCTACGCCAAACCAGGCTCATTCCAGCTAGAGAGCTGTTTTTTTTTTTTTTTTTTTTTTTTTTTACCAGAGCTTGGGGTAAGACCAACATGGATGCACTGCCCTCATTAATTCTGGTCACTGGTTTACTTAAACAGTCACATTTAATTCTCTAGATGTATACTCTACACCTCCACCATTAACTTTTTATCTCTCTCTCTCTCTGGAGTAATCAGATTATATATTTTCTCTAAGGAACATTATCTTCGTTTCTTTCTCCTCGCCTCTAAATATATTCTCCTTTTTCTCTCTCTGAATTAAGTCTCTTAGTCTCTCTGCCTGGTCATTTCATTTCCAATTTCGCTTCTTTGTCGCCCTGTCATTTCTCTCTTTGTATATGCTCTTCCATCAGCACTGCATACACCCAGATCTTTATTTGTACCTGAGAATTCTGGTTCTATGGTTTTAGACTTTCTTTTGTCTTTGGGTTATGTCTTTTTTCCTTTCTTTTCTTCTTTTTTTATTTTTTATTTTTTATTTTTATTATTTCTCTTACATCTTCCTTTTTTTTTTTGTCCATTACTGTTTTTCTTTTTCTTTTTCCTTTCACTTTGGGTGTTTGTTGGATTTGTCTGTGCATTTCTGTGCCTTTGTTCCCTATGTGTTTGTCTGTTTACTTTTCCAAGGACACCTCAAGAAACAAGCCAAAGTACACATGGTGGAGAGTCCCAAATACCACTCAAGTAGGGAGATAAAGAACTAAAAATTCACCAAAATAGACCAAGAGACACCATTAAAGGAATACTTCCTGCATGGACACGCCCGGAACAGTCAATGAGTCTTCTTTAATTTTTTTTTTTTATGTTTTATTTATTTCTAGGAGAGAGAGAGAGAGACAGCGCGAGCAGGGGAGGGT